CATGCTCCTAAAATTCACTTTTAAACATAAATTCTTATATGAAAACTTGAACAATACTGGATAGCAGTGCATTTCTTTTAAATACAATATAATGTGGCTCCTTTTAAGTTAATTTCCAAGATTTCTTTTTCATTTGTTACCAATTTGAATCTGGAGAAATATCACGAGTCTCCTAATTCACTCTACCAGCTTCCTATTAAATGTGTAATCACTATGTGGCTTGATGACTCTGATACAATACAATATAAAAGGATCGTCAAGTTGTTAATTATAAAAATATTAAAATATTCAAAAAATGAAGCAAGGGGTGTTTGAACCAGCTGCACGATGATTTCTCTGGATTCTAACTTTATTCTGAGTAACAGACAGCTAACCTTGATTCTTACTGAATAAGCATTGAAATGTTCTATGGTGGTAAAGAGCTGCAGCTGCAGCTTGTTAATTACTCACTGATCTTTTTTTAAAAAACCCTTTTAAGTAGTTTTTTTTTTTAAACCCTAAACCTCTACAATTTGTTTGCCAATTTTTTATTCCCCCATTAAATGCTGATGACAAAATTAGCAAAAGGATGATTATTGGGAGACTTTAGAACTCTGGCATCCCTTCAGTTAGCTTTCTTGGTTGACGGCTAGAGATTACACAGGAAAAAAACACTGAAATTCTGACTGAAGGTGGAATTGAAGGCAGCATCTCACATCTTAGGACAAAGGTTTTTTCGCACCAACAGTTTCAAAATCACTGATCGTTAAATTATTTGCAAGATGACAGGTGACGGTAGGTGTCAGCTGTAAGACAAAATGTCTTTCCATTAACGCCAAACATCTCTCACTTCACTCTCAGGAAATGTAACTTGGATCAGCTTTCTTTTCCTGGAAGACATTCAGCAACCTAGAGGCCCCATTGATACATGTAAATACGGAAGTTAATCACAACCTCTAATTTGGTCTCATTCAGCACGGGAGAATTAGTGTTCTTAACATTTAAAAATAGCAGCTTTTTTTTTCCACCAGTGCTTTTTAAAGCAAAATCTGAAAGATAAATAAAGATTGCCTTACTAAATTTGATAGGGGTACCTCTTCCTACCGCTTCTCAAAAATAGTCCTGCCACTCACTTTGCCTATAGTTCAGTTATGACTCTGCTGGCTTGATTGAGAGCCGGGCATGAAAGCTTGGAACACTTAGGGAAAGCTGAAAGGAAGATGAATAGCATTGGTAGCCTGCTTTAATTTCTGGGACCTGCTTCACTTACCTATTAAGTCAAGTAACTTCAGCTATAAAGTGCAGGGCATGAGTAGTGCTTTCTGTAACCCCTGATACAGAAGCTGGCCAGAGTAACCTGCTGTTTGCCATATTTCCATGAACATATCTTCATTGAGCTACTAGTTCTTCCCTCTTCCAGCTATATTTTCTGTTCATTATTTATTTATTTAAAACATCGCTATAGCTTCCTATCTTACAACCCACTCTGAGTGGCTTCAATCTGAAGTTTAAAAAAAACATACAAAAACCTATTGAAACTATAAAACTATAAAAATGAAATGCATTAAAACATTGACTGTTTTAATGTGCAACGTGCACTGTTAATAGCAAAAATTTACGTGGACTTAGGCCACTGATTTTAATTCTAAGGAATTGTTTCTCTGGTGGCATTAAAGCCAAAGTCTACAACTTTGGTATTGCATTTAAAAAAGAAAAAAGAAAAAACAATTAGCAGCATTTATCTCTATGTGACATTCATATGCAACCAGGGCTGGGGCTATCCCAGGCAGCATCACTAATGAAAACTGAAATTGCTTCAGTTTGAAGCAAATAAATGTGCTGTTTCTTACTGGTACCTGTACACAGATGGCAAATCTGATACTACACCCAAGAGAAATGTACTGGATTCAGTCAATCAGTCAGCTTATTAAAATCCTAGACTAGTACAAAAAATATGTCCATGAGTAATCTGTGAGGACTTATAAATCTATCTTATGAAATCAATAAAATTTGAAACAAAATTAAAATACATCTATAAAACAATCTGCTTTTTTAAGTATGAGTGACATTGTGGTGCTTACTCAGCATCTACTATTCTGCTTTAAAGTTTAATGCATATATGTTCTAAAAGAAGTGATTGCCTAGGAACAAAAATCAATTTTTTTGATTTATCACGTTTTATCAAAACAATGTGTGTATGTGTGTAACTTGTAGCCTAGCTGCTGTGTGCCAAAGATTCAAACAGTGTAGATTATCTGTTTGGTCCCTGAAGAAAGAGTATATATCAAAAGAAAAGTAAATCTCCAGCCAATTAATTGGTGTCAAGTTATACAAGTCTTTTATGATTGTCTCAGAGGATATGCTTCATATTTTATCTTCTAAGACAAAAAGTGAATGCTTATAATAACTGCAGCAGGTAGGGAATAATTAATTGCAAAACTGACATTTTTACCATGACTAGCTCAGAGAAAATTACTGCATCAAAAGGATTATTGGCCATAGCTCCTTTTGATATATAATCTGCCTCATGCTCTCAACAACAGTAGAAAAATCTGCGGTGTACTAGAAAATTTATTTATTTATTTATTTATTTATGAGACTTATATACCGCTTTAAGTGCAAGCACTCTCTAAGTGGTGTACACCAGTAAGCAATGTATATCTATATATTTACATTGCCCCCAACAATCTGGGTCCTCATTTTACCTACCCCGGAAGGATGGAAGGCTGAGTCAACCTTGAGCCGGTGAGATTTAAACCGCTGACCTGCTGAACACAGTCAGCTAAAGTGGCCTGCAGTACTGCACTCTAACTGCTGCGCCACCTCGGCTCTTTATAAATAAATGTTGTTAAGTAAAAGCAGGCAATTATCAAATTCCAAATTAACATTTGCTACTGTATGTACTATCAATAACATGTATTGCTAATTAGTAGGTAGAATAAAACAACTGGGAAACCCAAAATCAGCTGTGAGAGAACATCCTTGTTCAGCCTGGTTCCAACTGAGCATCAAAAATCCAAAATATAACAGGTGTAGAGTAAGTTAGAAACCACCCCAGAAAACTTGTTCACTAATAGCTTATCTGTTCGGTTTCTTCCATGTTCAACCCAAGGCTTATAGAAGGTTTTTCTAGTACAGGATGGAGAGCCACAAAGAATATGTTTTGCTAATACTTTTTTTTCTCAACATTTCTTGCTTTCCACTTTTGTATCATGTGATTGTGACAAACTCTGTAATAATACAAAATTTAAATGTAGGCCTTGCTTAATTTGTTTGCTAGTAGTGGCCGTTGTCACAACCATAATGTGCATTATTAAGTCATTCAAAGATGGAGGATTTCTTCAGGCTTCTAGTTTGTGGAACTCTTTAGATACTGTCCACAGTATCTAAACAAGCAGAGAGATTTGTGCTGTTAGGATATATTCTGATTGTAGCTTTTTCTTTGCTCTGGGGGTTATAGTAATGTTGCTCCCTTCCTTTCATCTGCATTTATTTCTCAATAGTAGTTAGGTGCCATGATATACAAAAAGTGTGGTCTTCCTCAGAAATTATAATTAACCTGTATGTGTAACTTATTGGTCTGACTAGGATATTTCTTAACTTGATATTCAGAGATCACCTGGGGTGAAATTCATTCTTAGGCAGAAGGCCAGTGAAAGACTGCCTATCAGATTGCACTTTAGAGTCGTGTGTAAGTCTTATGCTTGGGCACCAGGCTGATCAGGAATATCTCCTGGAAAATGTGCTGCATGAATGGGCAGCTTGCCTAATTATTTATCCCATGAATGACAAGAGCCCTCGGGGTAGGGTGTGGTGAAGAAGCAACAGACAGGAACTAGTGCCAGCAAACATGACTATGTGAGCTTCCTGTTTGGAGCTTTCGGTAACCATTTCATGAGCAATCCTCTAAACTCAGAGATCAGGCATAATTTCAGCACTTCTGGACTACCCATCTTAATATAAACAGTACTTTGAAAACCCAAATTGGAAGAGTCATAAAATGGTGTCCACTTAGGCAGAACTTTCATAAAACTATAGACATGGAAGAATTTCTCATCCTTTTATCTGGTGCTGTTTTCCCATTTTCACAATATACATATTTATGTCTACTCAAACACTAGCAATTTGGCCCTACGCATGAGTCTCCATTTCTGCATCATCAGATCAGTTTATAGGCATAAGGTCAGTCTTTATTAAACAGTGCCTAAAAGTATAGGGATATGCTTTTAATCTCTCTGGGCATTTACAATTCCTGATTATATGAAAGGAAGTTCATGCCTCGTATCCAAATGTATTGTCTGAATAGGATCAACATATAAAAGTATGATCTGAACTTGTGCCATTGCCAGGTCATCTTTCATTGGTGAGAAATACAATAACATATTTTATAAATAATTTGTTTATTTGAGATTTAATGAGTTCTGTGAAATTATCCTGTTCTAAGTCATAGGTTAAGCAATATGTAGCTTAAAACATGTTGCCTAGTTTAAAACTTAAATAATGAAGCCTGCACTGCAGTGAGATTTTTGAACATATTTTCTATAGGATTACCCTGCACATAGCAACAATGCAAATGGAGGATGTGTCTAGTACCTAGTGCAAATTTTCAGTTAGCTTTAGAAGGATTACTTTTTCCCGTGACAATGGTTTTCCTGATTAAAAAGATTGACTTTCATGATAGAAGAATGGATTTTTTAATTTTTTTCTGGCAAAAAGACGGGAAAGGGTTCAATATTTAATTGTAATTTCAGTAGTAACTTATGTATGAAATGTAATAAAGATGATGAAAAGTAGATTTCCAACAAGGTGTGGTTTTGTGGGTAGCATTAGACCTGAACAATTATGATTATAGTAACCTCAAGAGATGGAACAGTCTTTTGAATACAATAGAGTTGCCCAAGTACCTATGAACCCCAAATTAATTTCTGTGTATTTCATCATCTGTTTGCTCCCATGTTTTATAAAAAATCATCACAGTTGGTTTAATAAGAAAATTTCTTCCACTACACCCCAACCTTTAGGCAATTGTTTCCAAATGGGTTCCCAGAAGAATACTTCATAACAGCCACATTCCGTGTCAGAAGAAACAGCAAAAGAGAACGCTGGTATTTACTGCAGATTTTAGATCAGCATAATTTGCCACAGGTTAGAACAAATTCAGTTATTTGGTATTGTTACTTCTTTAGTTGTGTTTGTTCGTTCGTTTCCTATTTCCATCCCGAATAAAATAATAGTTACAGCTTTGTGAATTGCTAGATAGTCCCAGTGGTGGGTTTCAAATACGTGAACAAATGGTTCTCTGTGTGGATGCTGCTTCTGGAAGTCCGTTCTGGGCCTGGGTAACAAAAAAAAAATAGCTACTGGTTCTGCCGAACTGGGTCCAAACTGGCTGAATCCCACCACTGGATAGTCCCCTCAGATTATGCAACTACTGATATGGCTTGGATACCACAGTGGTCATTTTTCAAATAGCAATTATAGAATGATTTACATAGGAGTAATGGAACCTTGGGATGGTATGTGTTGGGAAGTTAACATTTTGTCTTTTGGTTTGAAGAATATTGAAACCTGTAGAATATGACAAAGTAAGTGAAAGGTTGGAGTTTGATGCTTAATGACAAGGTTGCATGGAAAAATATTCAAGAGACAGATTCAGAAAGCTTAAACAAGTAAAAGATACATCTAGACTTGTCAGGGAAAGTTTGGACTGCCACCAACTGAAAAATTGTTTAATTTTGAGTAGTTTAATACATCCCATCCCATCCCATGTCTTATTGGAGCCCTGGTGGTGCAATGGTTAGAATGCAGTATTGTAGGTAAACTCTGCCCACAGTCTGGAGTTCGAACCTGAGGGGGCTCAAGATTGACTCAGTCTTCTATCCTTTTGGGGTTGGTAAAATGAGAACCCAGATTGTTGGGGGCAATGGGCTGACATTGTAAATCATGCCGAGAGTCCGTAAATGCAAATTGCTATTGCTACTGTGGAGTCCCCTGCTCCTCTGGGGAGCTTTTGAGGGGGCTGAGGGGCTGTATCAGGAAGGAGGGGGTGAGAAAGTTTCACTTTCTGAGGAGAACTTGACATGTGATACCAAACATTTCCAGCATGTACTGACTTCTATGATTGTATTCTCTTCTTTGCTATATTGCAGTTTATTTCATTTTGAAAGCATTGAAATTTGTGTGTGTATATATTTTTGTTCAGGCTTACATCTCAGTTGATGGTTTAAAAAAAGCTATAGAGTATGTCATGCAATCTACCCAGCGGAACTCCCTGCGCTATGTCTTTAAAAGCCGCAAAATCTATCCTATCTTTGACCGTCAATGGCATAAGCTTGGCATCAGTGTACAATCAAGGAAGATTTCTCTTTATGTGGACTGCAGCTTAATTGAACAAAGGATGACTGAGGAAAAAGCCAACCCTGACACTCAGGGAAAGATTCTCATTGCTACTCATTATTTAGATGGCAAACCTGTGGATGTAAGTGTTCATGTCCATGTTTTAATAAATTACGTGGTTTTATGCTGCTTTTATGGAAAAGGAAGTGGTGGGTGTTATTGTTATGTTGTTTTTGTTCATTGTTCTGAATTTATAAGAGGCTAATATGATAGATAGATAGATAGATAGATAGATAGATAGATAGATAGATAGATAGATAGATAGATAGATAGATAGATAGATAGATAGATAGATAGATAGATAGGCAGGCAGGCAGGCAGGCAGGCAGGCAGGCAGGCAGGCAGGCAGGCAGGCAGGCAGGCAGACAGACAGATGATAGAACAACATCAAATTGGTGAGCTGGAAAAACTTGAATGATTTCTGCTTATGAATTAGAACATTTTTGTTGATGAGACACATTGCTGGAAAAGGAAGGGAAAATAATTTTTTTTCCTCTTCCTATAATTTCCTGCTCCCTAAAATGTTTTTTCTGAAAGCTTGGAATCCTTCAAAAATAATTGGAGATCATTGGAACTGAAGGAGAGAACTGGGAGTAAACCAAAATTGTCTCCTGCTTCTTCATGTAGAACCTTCTCTAGAAAAAAATAATTGCATCATTGAATGAGCCTTGCACGTATAGAATATCATATCTGAATCCAGATATATGCATTTTACATATGTTTAGAAAGCAGACATTTTTCAATTTTGATGCCCTGAGATCCTTAGAAATGAAGTCTGAATCCTAAAAGAAATGAAGTCTGAGTCCTAAAAGAAAAGAAATCTGAATCCTAAAAGCAGCAAATATTTTTAGAGTGTTATCTCTTCTGTGCTGCAGATATCAAATAAAAGGTCAGGTTTAACTTAAAGTATTCTGAAAACCACTTATGTAGTAGGAATTGAGTTACAATAAAGAGGATACCGTGACACATTTAAGGATACACATCCGCTTTAATGCACATTCTTTACTGTGCTAAAAGTAAAATAATTTTAGAATTTTTATGCATTTTTATTAAGAATTTTATTTACAATGCTAAAAACTAATACAATCTAGAAAAAGAGAAGAAAATGGCAAGGAAGAATAAATAATACAGGAAAAGAGAAAAAGAAAAAAAGGAAATATATAAAGAAATGACTTTCAACCTTCGTCACAAGTATAAACACATTTAATAAATTTTCATACCCCCCATAAGGTTAAACAGATAACTTTTCATCCCATATTCCACACCTTATTTATAAGCAAATACATAAAACATCATTTTTTTCAATCTTGGTGTCAGCAAAAATCCATTAATTTTTTTCCAGAACATTGAAAAAAATATCTTACGTTGACTTTGATCTAATAAACCAGCTTTATATTCCTTCCTTTTAATTCAATCAAATATTGTTATAGAAATTCATTTCTCTTCAATTCTTCTTTATCCTGTCGAACAGATTTACTCAAGACTTTAACAAGCTTCTTATGTAGATCCAATAAGAAAACATTTTCTAGGTCATTCCCCTGGCTTATCATTTGCATCTCTCTTTTAATTTTTAAAACATCAACCAGGTTTTTTTTGTATATCCAGTAAAGTGTCCTTTTCCAAATTATTCTCTTGGCCTGTCATTCAAATCCACATTCTGTACTTCCTCTGGCCACCCTGTTTGTTTACATGGAATAGTAACAGGGACTATTCATAGCAGGATAAAATAGTTACAACCCCAATCTTTCGTGATGCCTTCATTTTTTTTTAATTTAGATCCCCTATTTTTATGTTTGTTTATTTTTATGCTATATCTTATGTTCTGGAAAAGATCAAAAAGAACTTGAGCATCTGCTTTTTTTGTCACACTTCAATCACCTTGACAATTGTGGCTTGCCTCACCCATCATGAGAATCTCCACCTTTAGAACTGCCTCAATCTACTCTCCACTTAATCAGGGTCAGGCTTAGAGCTCAATTTCCTCTGCTTTCCAACTTTGAGATTTTAGTTTAGTCCTGTATTTTTTCTGGAATGAAGTAGATTGAATTATAAACTTGTCATTAGTGCCTAACTTTTCATTAGGGCTTCCAATGCAATCAAATAAAACTTATTTTCTGGACTTTCCTCGCAAGTAACAGTTCAATCCCTTAAGGTAATACATTTATCACATTTTGTTTTTCTCCTCTACCTTATTTTACTTTTAGGAGGATGTTTCTTTTTCTTTTTCAGCCTACTGATGAAGTGTTTTTGAAAGAACTTACATATCTCTGTTTTCCAGCTTAACTTTCTTTTCTAGAATAAGGAGATTTTCTCCTGTATTCTCCCTGAATTAAGATCAAGACTCTTTGGGCCTCTGGCTATTCCCTTATTTATATTTCTTTTTTAATCAGTGGCCATGACTTCAATTAATCAGGGCAAAGAACTGTGTATCTTATGAAGACTGTCATTTTTATAGGGACAAAATGTTTTTATTATCCAACCTCCTAAGTTTTTTTCCCCACTTGGATTAGGATATAATATTTCTTACTTTTTGTCCTAATTCCTCAGCTCCATAGAAACATCTCTGATTTTGCTTTTTATCTGGCATTCTTCCGAGACTTTGTTTTTTCCAAGGCCATTATAAAGGCCATGGTTTTCTATTCAGCATTTTTCCAGATGGATAGCCTGCTGCCATCTGACCAAACAGCTGTGCCTTCTTCCAATCTGTGATCACTCCAAAAGAATCAACAGCTTTCCTCCGGATCTTCTGCTGCTGGAACAATGTTGAGCAGTAACTAACATGGGTTCAGCCCTTTGGTTTCATTCAGCATCAAAGCCTGAATATTTGTTCCCAGAAAGGATGTGGCCTTTGGAAGAATGTGGCATTTTTGGTCAATTTATGATGACTAAAACCTTGTCCAACAAAGATAATATTAATTTTTTCTCATACATAAAAATTCATAAACTTTGGAACAAAGTGTCATCTAATATTAAAAACTACATCTTATATGAACCTCTATTCCATTATATATATTATTATTATTTCAGTTAATTTATAAAGCAATGTTATCAACCAAAAACTGTGCCCAAAATAAAGGTGAAATAATTCTAGTAATAGTTTTACAACAGAACATATATGACTCATAAAGAAAAATGTTAAGAGGAAAGTTGAAAGATTTAATTGATGTAGTCTGAGGTTTTTTAACATGCATAGTGACTGTGAGATAGATAAAAGTGCTTTCCATATACATTGTTAGTTATGTTTAAGGAAATTGTGTTTTCTTCACAGGAAAATAGGTGTGAGCAAATAGCTGCAGCACTTCAGTTGTTTCATATATGATGGATGATTTAATATTTTTGTTTAATAACTTGGTAACCAACTTATATGAACCCTTCCAATATTGTCCATTCAGTTAATTTTCACGATAGTACATGGAAGAGAAATATAGCAATTTTATGTTCCTATCTATTTATCTTTTCCTCATTTTTTTATCTGTACTGTTCTTGCCCAGTGCCTCTGGTTTTTTGTCACATTTCCTTCATTTCTTAATCCTTTTCTTTCTTTCAAAGGTCATCATTGACCCTTCCATCTGGTTGCTTTTTCCAGAGATTAAATAAATGTCTCACAGAACAGCATGCAAAGAGTCTGCTGCAGCACACACATTCTTATAGAGTATACTATGCAGTGCTTTTTTTGTAAAAAAAAAAAAAAAAAAAAGGTGCCGGAACTCACACACATCATACAATCTGCCTTGCCTGCCCTACAAGGTTCCATCCAAAAAAGGTGCCGGAACTCCGCTCTGGGCATTCTATGACAAAAAAAGCCCTGATATTATGTATGAAAAATAGTACATTATTTCTTAGAATGAAAGCTATTTTTAAAAAGTCATCTTTCTCCCAATCCCCCTAGGCAGTGGTGGGATTCAAATATGTGAACGACCAGTTCTCTGTGTGGATGCCGCTTCCAGAAGTCCATTCTGGACCTGGGCAACAAAAAATTAGCTACCGGTTCTGCCGAAGTAGTGCGAACCAGCTGAATCCCACCACTGCCCCTAGGTCAATTCTAGGTATAGAAAGTTCAAGCTTTCTTGTATTGTGCAGATGTTTCTGTATAAAGCCTAGGCTAAAATACATTCAAATTAATATTTTATTAAGAGTATATTAAGTATTTTCTTTTTTCAGTTTTCCTATCTAAAACAATGCTTCTATTAAATGGGTGGACAGATGGATGGATGGACAGACAGACAGACAAACAGACTAAAAACTCTAGGCAGGAAAAGCCAAATAGGGCAGGCTGGTTTAGTGACATGTAAAAAAGATTGAGGAGACTTTTTAGATGAACACAGGCAAATAGCTGAAAAAAAATCTTAGGCTCCTTTAGCAACAAGACTGTACATCTGAATCACAGGAGGTGATAAGTTTCATTGTGGTCTGTGCTGGCTCAACCACACCTAGAATATTGTGTCCAGTAATGGCCACTGCACTTTGGAAGGGATATGGAAATGCCAGAACAGAAATAGAAGCAAACCACAACAATAATAAAGGCTCCTTGAAAGAAACATTGAAAGAGATGAGTATGTTTTGCTTTCAAAAGAGAGGACTAAGGGTAAAGATGTAACAGCAATTTACATTTATCTGAAAGGCTGACGCATACAAAAGAAAGCATATTGAAACCAATGCAGAACAAGGATCAGATAGGTGAAATTAAAGCAAGGATTATTAGTTTAAATATCAAGAGGAATTCCTTATGGTAAGACCGGAGGAACAGACTACTTAGAATAATCATGCCCTTTGCTTGCTGGAGATTTTCCAGCAGGCCTCTATTGGGAATAGTTTAATTAAATATGTTAGTAAGCAGAGTATTGGACAACATGATAAGGCCTCTGTCAACTCATGTTGCTCCTTTTCATAACAGTGCTAAGAGATGGCATCATTGAAAGGCAAATTAAATCAATTCAGCATGAATTGATATATACTTCCTGAATTCAGGTGAACTAGCTAACCAGAGTCATGGAGTAAAGGGGAGGATACAACAAATCTATATAATAAACCAGACTACATTGTTACATTATAAACAAAACCAATTGGAAGAAGGGATGTAAAGAGAGCTTAACAGAGAGGGGTTTTTTTTTCAAATATTTCCAAAGAAAATAGATACATTAAAATAATTTTGTAACTCTACAGGACTATTGAGTTAATTCTGGGGATGTATGTGGAAAGAGAAATGGAGAAAGGATCTGAGATTTGCCTAAATCCCCAATTTAACAAATAGAGTTTTACCAAATTTCAAGGAATATCGTCCCTTGCTATTGTCCTGCTTCCTGCAGTGCTTTTATAGTTGCAACTGAATGGTTTCAACTGGTCTTCTATCAAACGCTGAGAGACAAGTGGCTGTATTTCCTAACTGGGACTATTTCATGGCAAGAAAGCAATAAGCAATAGTACTATCTCATGAGGCCAGCCTATTTGGCTTCAGTGATGCTGCCTCAGCCACCAAAGGCAAGGTTGTGACTTAAGTTTTAATTTATTATTCCTAGGATTATTTATAATGATAAATTAATAACATAGCTAGCGGAATTTGTTAAACACTCTAGTTTTATTGCCTTAAAGTAACGTAGTTTGGAGAGAGATAAATTTCCATCTGTAAAAATAAATCCTTGAAATGGCCAGAGAGCTGACCAAAGAAATGCATCAAATTTCAGTAGCTGTTGTCATAAATCCAGCTCCTTTTATAAAGGAATATACAGAGGTTCTACGTTGGGTTCAAATTTGATTTGGTAGGATTTGATTAGAATCTGTGTGTTACAGATTCTAATCAAATGCAAATTGAGTATTTTAAAATGTCAAACTTTAATGTGTTTAAAAATTCATGGCCAAAATCCAAAACTCTGTTAGAGATATTTAAGTCCATCATTTTAGTGGGGTAAATTATTTAATGATGTGATGGATTTCTGCTACAGAGCTTGAGTGTTGTTACTTCTCAACTTGATAAGCATCATCATGTTTATTAAATAGATTGAACTTGGCCGCCTGATCTTACACTGCGATCCAAGCCTTGCTCCTCAGGAGAACTGTTGTGAATTATCTGAGCATGTGGTAAGTTGGGAAAATAAAAATGTAAATGTTTTCTCTTTTTTTTGTAACAATATATAACAAAGTTGCATGGCATTATTAGTATGGCCTATCACAGTGGTGGCGAACCTATGGCACGGGTGCCAGAGGCGGCACTCGGAGCCCTCTCTGTGGGCACACATGCCATTGCCCCAGCCTTGCTTCCCCCCGTGACCCCCTCCTCACCAGCAGCTCTCCTAAAGAAGAGTTTCCCCCAAGTGTGGCCCATGTGGAGCAGTGCAGCCAAGGACATGGCAGCCAGCAGCGTAGACAAGACTCTGCCCTCACACCCCATCGTGCACAGTTGATGTTGCGGGGCAGGGCAGAGGGCGTGGCTGCCATGGCACTGCTGGGCAATCTGCAGCAGGCCCTGGAGACGGTGAGTGGCCCTGCGGGCAGGCGGTATGGGGGCAGAGTGGGGGCAGGGCAGGGGGTGGAGCAGGGGTGAGGCTAGTTTTTGGGCACTCAGTCTCTAAAAGGTTCACCATCACTGGCCTATCATTTGAAGACAGAAATTTGGCGTAGTTAAGGCATCATGTAGAAATTGGAAAACCTAATCCCGCCTTAGGGACAAAACCAGCTAGTGATCTTGGCCCGGTTACTTTCTCTCAGCCCTAGGAAAGAGGCAACAGCAAATCACTTCTGAAAAATCTTGCCAAGAAAACTGCAGGGACTTCTCTGGGTAGTTTCTGAGAATTGGACATGATTGAACAAGAGAGAGAAAAAAATCATTTGAAAGATTTTTTATTATTATTTTGATGATGCAATCTTTATTCATATTTTAAAAAAAACCTATGTTCTACCCAGACCTTTAGTGTTCTGGGAACTTGTGTAGCACAGTAAAATATCGATTTTAAAAATAAATATAATCCACTTAAAAATACAAGCTGAAAGAAGTGTATTTAAAAAAATCTGGAGAAATAATTATGGCACTTCTTCCTAAACTTTAGTAAGGAATCTTGAAATTTGTCTGCCACTCAAATAATAAGAATAACATGTTCAAATCACTGTAACAGAGGAGCATCAGTGTCACAAGAAGAGGATCTACACTGGAGCTCCTGTTGTTTCAGATGCTTTACTCTATTGGTATATGTTCTAAGCATATTGCTTGCAACATAGTGCACTCTACCTATGAAGTATGGATTAGGTAAATATAAACTAACAGCTATTTAAAATAATAACAACATTTACTATAATTCCACTGCATTATTTTCAATTCAGGTTGCTGAACCTGTCAACACAGGTTATTTTTTTTTCACACCATGTAAATGTACTCTCTGCAGATGCAAAAGATGCTATCGATAGTATAATTTGATTTTAATGAATTAGATTTTAATCCAGATAATATGTATTCATAATTGCAGCATCCTTTGGAGAAAAGCTTGAAAACTACTGCAGCATCACCATCCGTCGGTCACATTGGTAAAATACAAGCTCTTCCAATTATGGAAAAAAATTCTGAAGAAAAGTGTTTCTGCTCTCAGAACAAGGTATAATCCTCTCTTATTATAGTCTTTCATGTGTGATCTATTAAATGTACAGTTCTTTGAACAGATTTAACTTTTATTTGGACTTTTGTACTGTTGTTCTTTTTTTATATGCTATTGAATATTAAAGACAGTTGCACAGTATTTTGTTCTATTACAGCCTTATATCATCTACAGTAGATGTGTCAGGCCACAATTCTCATCATTTGAAGTCCTCATGATCAATGGCCATGTTGCCTAGCAATTATAATTATTATTTGATAAGGTTAGCGATATTTGATATGATTAGGGGAAAGCTTTTCTATAAATGATGTATGCATATGAGAGGCAAGACATGATAGCAGTCTTGGGGGACTGTCACAAAGAAGAGGGGATCAACCTATTTTCCAAAGTACCTGAGGGCAGGACAAGAAGCAACAGATGAAGCAACTTAACAAGGAGAGACGCAACCTAGAACTAAGAAGAAATTTCCTGGCAGGGAGAACAATTAATCAGTGGAATGGCTTGCCTCCAGATGTTGTGAGTGCTCCAACATTGGAGGTTTTTAAGAAGAAATTGGACAGCCATGTGTCCAAAATGATATAGGCTCTCCTGCTTGAGCAGAGGGTTGGACTAGAAGACCTCCAAGGTTCCTTCCAACTCTGTTATTCTGTTATAGAGACATGTGTTGCACTGCAAAGAGAATGACAGTGTAAGTTAAAATAGTACAGGTTTATCTGAGATCTGTATTTTCTGTGCATTTTTTTTTTACTATAAAAACTCATACGTTGTTATCTTTAAGAAGGATGACACCAACTAGAAAATTAAGAACTTACAAATCTACTATAATAAAGGATGATAACAGCCATTTCAAATTGAATGGAAAAATATTTCTCCACATTATGTTACTATGATGAAATATCCAAACAGTATGATTGTTTATAGAAATGCTAATTTATGAACCCACTCTTCAAAATATTAGCAGGGCTATCTGTAATTTGAGCTAGTGTCTAAGTATCTTGACCAACATGGAAGAATATGGGTCCTTTAATAGCCCAGGTCAATTATTGCAACCTCTACATTAAAACAATGAACAAAACAATAGGAGGACACTGGACACCAGCATTTCCCACAAACATTTCAAGTACATTAGAAGCAGGGAGCAAAGATAGGTCTGTATATCAGTGTGACAGAAAACACTTGCAAATCAATAACAGATGCATTGCACAGAAATTGCATCTGTCCTTACTAGAAGGGCATCATCTAAGTTCTTGAGCCAGGTGATTTGCATGACTTTCATAAAGCACTGTCAATTAAAATAATGATATTTGCATATAATTTTCACATAGAAGACATTAAGCCGCAGTAGATATTTTGCAGTAGAATATATCTTATTTTCATTCTTTCTCTCTCATTAAAGTATTCTTATATCAGAACATGTGTCTGTTAGCCCAGCAATTTTAATTTTAACATAAAATATACTGGAAAAGTTGAATACATAATGTTGGGTATATTTGTACATTTGCATGCTTGTGTGGAGCAAGGATAATAGTAATCAGCTCAGTTTACTCTGTTTCTCACAGAAAATTAAAAATAGAATTTTTTAAAAAATACAGAAGAGATTATGATAATGGTGATGATATCCTACATATTTGTGAACAAGAACAGGTAGTCATCAACATATGACCACAACTGAGTCCACTTTCCATTGCTAAGTAGTTGTTAAGTGAACTGCATCCCATTTTTACAACTTTTTTTGCCACAGTTGTTAAGTGAATCACTCCAGTTGTAAAGTGAATCATGTGGCTGTTAAGTGAATCTGGCTTCCCCCATTGACTTTGCTTGTCAGGAGTCAATGGGAAGATTGTGAATGGTGATCCTGTGACCCCGGGACAGTGCAACTGTCATAAATACATGCCAGTTGCCAAGTTTTGCCCAAATTTTGATCATATGACTATGGGGATGCTGCAAGTGTAAAAAAATGGTCTTAAGTCATTTTTTTCAGTGTTGTTGTAACTTTGAACAAAGTTGTAAATGAATGGCTATAAGTTGAGGACTACCTGTGTATCTTCTCGGTGGGAAAACAAAAAGTGGGAGAAGACAAGATCTATGGACTTATCCAGAAATGAAGTCTCTAATGCTTGCCCTTTGGAGAACTGCCTGGAGCAGGGGTCTTTAAACTTGGCCCTTTTATGACTTGTGGACTTCAACTCCCAGAATTCCTCAGCTAGGCATGCTGGCTGAGGAATTCTGGGAGTTGAAGTCCACAAGTCATAAAAGGGCCAAGTTTGAAGACCCCTGGTCTAGAGCAAGCTTTGAAAAACTGTTGTTCTCCATCTATGTTGCTGAACTACAACCTCTTATCAATCCATACAACTGTAGTTACAAATGAAGGGTAGTGAAAGTTATAATTCAGCAGCATTTGCAGTGCCACTTACTCCTAACTCCCAGGATAAAGGCATAAGACTGTTTCTCCCTGCATTAGGGAAAATGGTTTTTTTGATATCATTCAATATTATTCCAATTAGAAACAATCAGCTTAGACCTCTTGAAGACTTGAGAAACAAGTGCAAGATCAGAGTAGGGTTTGTTGTAGTAGTTGTAGGTGTCACTAAAGTACTTCCCTTTTCTATCAGTAATACTACCATAAGCTGGAACTCTGGTATATTATACAATTACACTTTATAACTTATCCTGTGGGGGCATTACTTGTAGGAAATTGTTTACTTTTTCTCCCCCCAAAAACATAAGATTCTAGAATAAATGCCCTAGCTTTATTCTCAACAGGGAGAAGCAGGACGGCCAGGTGTCGTTGGTCTGCCAGGCCAGAAGGGAGAAAAGGTAAGGTTTTACCAGCAACATTTCTATTGTCACTTTTTGTTTGGTGGGTTGGAAACTGGAAAGATATTGCATGTCCATATTTGTCAGGAAGAGAACTTTCTTTAGTGTAACGTCCCAATGGAGATAAGCTCTGTCCAGACAGATTTGCTTGCCGCTGATCTTAATATCATTTAAGTAACTCTTTTAAATAAAAAGAGTTTTGCTTAGTGAAGTTTTTGTTTCTTTGTCTTTGTTTTTAGCAATTTCCCTTTCAGAGCAAGAATCCTCTTGAGATGTTGTTTAGTTTGAAGCTGGGTGTGATTTTTCTTTTTTTTTAACCACATGGTTTCTGGCTTTGATTTTTTTTTTAAAAAAAATAAAAACATTCTCATTGAACTTTCTGTGAAGTGTTATTTAACACCCTGGCAAGTAACTTTTCAGTTTGTAGTAAGCAGATGTCCATTCTGTTAGAATTTTAGGCATATTTTAATTTGTTATTAACAGTTGGGAAATAAATAATAACAAGTGAAACAGCAACAGAAGGTAGAATTGTTCAACAGCAACTTCCCCTGCCAAATCCTCTCTATTCAATCATAACTCCATATTTTTCCCCCTTTTCTTTATTCCAAAAATCAAAATATTCTGTTCCCATTCAGCTTTCTTTAGAGCAGTGATGGCGAACCTTTTAGAGATCGGGTGCCCAAAAACCACCACCCCGCCCCTGCTCTGCCTCCCACCCTGCCTGCTTTGGCCCCACCCACCCACCTGCAGGGCCACGCAACGCCTCCATGGCCTGCTGCAGCAGATCACTAGGCAGCCCTGCAGCACCATGGCAGCCATGCCCTCTGCCCACACCTTGCAGCATCATCTGCACACTATGGGGTGCGAGGGCGGAGTCTTGCCCCTGCTGCCCGGGGGCGACTCTCCTCCAAGGGGGCTGCTGGTGAGGAGGGGGCCATGGGGGGAGGCGGGGCTGGGGCAACGGCATGCATGCCCACAGAGAGGGCTCCAAGTGCCGCTTCTGGCACCCGTGCCATAGGTTCGTCACCACTGCTTTAGAGTGTTTATTTCCCACCCTTAGTATATGATGTTCCTATAATTTGTTACAGACTGATTCTTTTGGATTCTGGTTATTGCAATTCTTGAATTAAAGTTATCAATAAATGATGTTAACTGATTAGCCTTCACAGTGGTCAGTGGGCCTGGGAACTCTGTTGCTAAGCTACACGGTTGTAAAACATGAAGTCACATGACCACCTCAAATTATGATAGTAGTTCAAGCAGTTCCAGTTGCTGTTGTTATCCCATATGGCCATTGGGCATGATGTCACGTGAGTGTCATTTGTTAGTTCCTGATGGTTTTCCCATTGACTTTGCTTATAGGAAGCCAGCAGTGAACATAGCAAATGGCAATCACATGACTGTGGGATGCTGCAACAGCTATATCTACAAGGACCTATCATAGGTCTTCTGGCTCAATGCTGCTGTAACTTCAAACAGTTGCTAAATAAGGACCCCCTGTAATTTTTAATAGATATTTCAGTTGGTTTGTTTCAGAGTTCGTTAATTAAAGAATGAAAGGAAGTGATTGCCTAAAGTCAGCCAGCTGACTTTCACGCCAAAAGGAGGACTAGAACTTAGGTTCCTAATCCAGTACTCTAATACTATACCCTACAAGTTCTCTGGAATATATTCATATTCACTCCCTGAATATATTTTAAATATCTTTGTGAGGTTTTTCTGAGAATGCCGGTAGTCCTTGACTTATAACCACAACTGAGCCCAATTTTTTTGTCAATTTTGCCCCATTTTGTGACCTTTCGTGCCACAGTTGTTAAGTGAATCGCTGCAGTTGTTAAGTTAATAACATGGTTGTTAAATGAATCTGTCTTCTCCATTGCTTTTGCTCGTCAGAAGGTTGCAGAAGATCACATGACTCCGGGACACTGCAACCATCATAAATATGAGTCAGTTGTCAAGCATCTGAATTTTGATCACGTGACCCTGGGGATGCTGCAATGGTCATTAAGTGTGAAAAATAGTCATAAGTCACTTTTTTCAGTGCTGTTGTAACTTTGAATGGCCATTAAACAAACTGTTGTAAGTCAAGAACTACCTGTAGTTGCCCCTTACTTTCTATTGTTCCATTTTGGTCACAAAGCTGTCATAACTCAGAATCTGTAATCTCATGTTTGAATCTAAGTCTAAATAATTGTCAGGTTCATTGTTTATAAAGTTTTTTTTTTAATTGCCAAGTACTATTTAGCTAAAAACAAAACAACCATTGATTCTAAACCCACAATTAAAAAATAAAATCAGTGGAATAGAAGTATGTTATTTGCATGTAGTGCGAATTGAGTTCAGATACATTAATTTGTCCTAACCATTTATATATGCCTCACCCCACAAAACTATATTTTAATATATTTGCATAAAGTCTACATATGATTGCATAAAGTCTGTTACTATAGCTCCCTCTCTCACAGAAACAGAGAGGCAGAACTATCAATGAATTAAAAAAAAAAGGCAATACCTCTCCCAATAACAAAAGCCATACTCTCATGCTTAGATGTCATCCCAATGTGCCCTTTCTGAAAGCCATTTCAAAAGCCCTACTCTCCAGTCTTACAGTTCCTAGTTTGAAACTGCCAAAGTGTTTGAACAGAACAACCCTCCAAAAAGGAAAGAGTTCCCTGTCACACCTCATGGAGGACTGTCAACAGGCAACTTCAATCCTCATTGAGCTTTGCTTAGTGTTTTGCTATTTCTGAAAGCTTTCAAATATTTCACATTCCCTTCTCTAGTACAAAACAGGGTCTCCTTATTTCTATCTTGTTAGTATTATTTTAATGCTTTTTAATTGGCCAACAACGTATCTGTTAAGGATGTGGCAGTGTAAATACTATTTCAATTTTTTTTAAAGTTTGTAATCACATTTAAATAACCAAACAATTTTCTATAATGTCAGTTAGAACAACCTTCAACTGTATGGCAAATAAGCCGAAGAGTCAATCAATGCTATGAAAGTTCTTTAACTGTAACATTAATTAAAAATCCATAAAATCAATAAACAAATTTTGCAAAATGAGGATAGTTGGAATTTAAATTTACGTTTTATTTGTTTTTATTTATTTACATATGAAACTTGGGAGCCACCCATCTGCCTCACAAAGTGATTTTGTTTCATCTCTATTAATAGAATAATACTTTGACAATCAAAATGATTGGTGATAATGTATTACAGTCTATCAATAGGAAACACGTGTTTTCAAAATATTTTCATGTTATTTTTCCTACTGATATTAACGTCTGATCATTGTTGCTCATTTGAAATCTGATAAACCAGTGCTTAGGTTTTAGTACAACTAAAAAATATTCTTCCCCGACGCTCCATTAAATATGAATATATTTTTGTGCCTTTCAATTTTTTTAAAAAAAACTGGACTATTGACACAATAATATACAACCTCACTTTCAGCTCAAATTTTGTAGGCTTATAGTAAGATACCATGAAAATCCAACATATTTCCTTTGTCAACATTCCATTAGTAATGCTTTGGCCAATTTAAATCCAGTTTTTGTTGCTAAGGTAACCTTCTGGAGAAATTAGAAATTGTGAGAAACCTACTCAAAACAACTCTTTCTTGATTGTGCTAAATATAAATTGAAGTAAGGTGTTTTAGTAGGCATTCAAAATACTGTTAAAATACCCAACATCATCATCATTTTCTGTGTGTCAAATTTCAGCAACACCTTCCTTTCTCCTTTTTCAGTTATGCCACTGGGGATCACACTGTCTAAAATGACCCTTGACTGATCAAGAATAATAGGATGTGCTCAGTGATCCATGCAATATTTTTAATCCTTAATTTGAGGCTCTCTGGAATTCAACAAGAAAAAGTTGTTTGTGTCTAGAATTGCACAGGAGGAAAAGTGAAAAATTAGTTTAAGGTCCTATATTTTACTCCTTTGATCTACAGAGAACAAAGCTATGGCAATCACAGTCACCGTTCTGGAAAAGGAAAGCTAAAAAGGAACTCTATAAAGGATTTTAAAAAAATATTTAGTAATAATTCTGTTAAGTGTAAGGACTAAACTTAGCTTTCACAATCTTTTACATTATTACAACTCACATTACAAGGTGAGTTTATATAATGAATTAAGCAACTCATTATTTAACCATAGTCAAATAAACTAATGCCATTTTTTCTTCTACTTCCCAGACATCCATAAATCCCATAATTAAGATTCTCTTTCTTGTTTTCTTCCAGTCTTCTTGCTTCTTCTCTTGACATTCTTATCAACTTTATCCAGGTCCATTTGTACTTCCCATGAAGTAACTCCAATAAATATCCCATATTACAGTCTTTTTTATTTTTAAATAATCGTTCAAGTCCACATTAAAGTCTGTTTTATGGGTCTTCAAAGGGGTTTATTCATCTTTGGTGACAACATTTTCCCAATAAAAAAAGTTCCAGTTATTTCACAAATCCAGAGATCAAAGATTTCCTTTAAAGTAGCCATCAAGTGCTTTAGTAATCAACCTTCAAAAACCTTATTTTGCATTGCAATGTAAACAAAGCAGATTTTTTTTCCCCACAGAAGAGGATCTTTCTAAATATTTTCAAAAAAAGATCATATAAAGTTGGGAAAAGGTAGTTTCTTTTAAATGCGTTGGAAGGAAACTCATCCAGTAGCTGTACTTCTGAAAGTTTTTCAGTCTTAAAGAAGCAATACAGCAAATCCAAAAGATTGAAAAGAAGAGATCTGGACAAACCTTGAATCACAAAGGCTGCATATTCATTATTTGCCCCTTTTTTTGGCCTGAAAAGCTAAAAAGTTTTATATTTTTCTTAATGATTTTTAGGATTTTTTTTTAAAAAATGTCATATATTTTTGCATATTTTCCACCCTGTAATATTTCTTCTAAATATTAGAGAAGAGAATTACACATTACAGCTGTATGGCAAAGTCCATACAATGGTTGTGTTGATTTGTTGGTTGAGCTTTTATCTTGATTGTCAATTATTATTATTTTTACCATTATGGGCTCTTATATGGTGCCTTTAACTAGTATTAACTGCCCAGCATTATGAATTTGAGATGGACAGTCCTATACATTTAAATAAATCAATAAAATTCCAAGTGTAGTAGATAGATTTGTTTAAAGACTGTTTATTAACGACCTTTAATATACCATTTGCCTTTTTCATAATGTTTGCATATCATTTCAGTCTTTTCATTAAGTTACCCCTACCACAATTCCAGATACTCACTGCCCACTCAGGTTGAATCAACATATACTTGAAATGGTGTGTGTGTGTATCCCATAACCCAATGGGACTACTTTATTCTTGCATACATTTCACTCAATTAAGATGCCCTTATTACTTTGATATTCCCTTTTAGCTTCGATCATTTAAAATAATTTGATAGCTTCATTCACTAGCAGACTGAAAAATGCCAATAATCTTGTTTTTAAGAAAATAGAAAAAATAGTACATATTTTATTGCATAACTCATGTTTTATCATGGCTAAATACGTTCTAATTTTTAATTTAAAATCTGGTTGGGCTGCAGGCTACAACTGGTATACTATACAGCATAAAGCCTAACACTTTATTCAGAGCTGCACTTTACCATTTTTAAAGTTTGGGAAACTACTGTACTTTGTAGTTGGAAGCTACAATAATAACTGTCAAAAAGGATGAGGTAGAAACAATAAAATGAAATTACAATGAAAATAACCAATGTGGCACAAAACAACCTTTTGCAATCTTAGTATCCTTGCATAGATGGTTAAATTTAATCTTTTAATTTAATTTAATCTTTTAATTTAATCAAAACCACAGCTGCAAGATAGAATGAATTACTTCATAATTGGTTTTTCCTTTATCTACTAGCCCTTTAAAGGCCAAAGTTTATTTATTTATTATAGTTATGAAGTGACTTGAGTGCATATTTAGTATCATTTTGGTTACTGCAATAATCTTATTTTTTTTAATTTATGAGGCACATAAATTCAGAAGATGCCAGGATGTACCAGTACAATACTGATATCAAACAGGCTTGTATCCTGGCTAAAATAACTGGAAACCACACAGGAAGCAGAACATGATGTAAGACTGATTCTGTGGATAGCCAAAAAGGCTGACACAAGGCATTTCTGCCCATGTTACCCTTTTTCTTAAATACTGTAGTGCTTGCTGATAGTATACAGTCCTTTAAATGTTGTCCTGCTGATGAGACTGAGTGAACTTAACATGCTTACATTTAAACCATTCATTCAATGGAAAGCACTAAACATGATTACTTCGATTCACTGGATTTCAATTTCTAGAGCGAGTGCAGCATGTGTGACTTGATTTGCTCAACCCTCTGCTCACATGCCAACAAGTAAGAGCTGCCAGCTGGATTTTACAGGTGCAGGTCTTTGAATTTCTGTGAATGAAAAGTGTGATTTAAGAAGGCAGGTATAAAAGCTGCAGGAAGTTGCCTATGGAAGCAATTTACTGTACATAAAAGGCATAGTGACTTACGGAAATGCCTTTTAAAAATAATATGAACTTTGTCCCTTGGCTAATTGCTTTCTACCAATTATAGCCTGCTCATACTTTTAGGAATAATAAGGATTGGAAATATGCCCCAATCTTCAAATTTGCAAAAAAAAAAAATGCTTATCTCAGATTTTGTTGCAGATTCTGTCTTTATTTTCATGATGGACTGTGGAGTTTGCTCATTTAATTTGTTACTGCCAGTGCTGGTAAAAAAAAAAAAAAATTAGTATATCTAATGTTTCAAATATCTCTTTATTAATGCAGATGCTAAAAGAATAACTTTTTTCCTATAGAAGCACATGGCAGAATAAGAAATATTAACTGAAAAAGTTAGGTCTACATTAGTTTCCAATGAATTATAAAATGTTAGGATTAGAGTTAGCCTAAATGTATTTATGGAATGATGTATTTATTAAGAAAAAAACCTCCCTTTTCTGAAGTTTCTGTGGAAATGTTTGATTCATTACACCGGTTTGGATGTAAATCTAAATAAAAGTTTAGCATGATAAAAAAAGACCAACCCTACTTATTGTGCCTATGTCCTTCCTTTTTCCTCCATCTCAGTATTAAGGAGGAAAATGTTTGTTTTCATTTATGATTAACAGCACTTGCTCCATTTGTTGAATCTGGACAAACTGCAATTAATCATATTGTTAATAGAAACTAATTAGTTAATGTATTTGTATGAAATGTTGACACTCCCAGCACACACAACAGGTAAGGTACTTATCTGCTAATTTACTACATAGCCAATCAAAGGCAGACTTTAATGATCAAATAGTCATATTGATTACAGTACTAAGATAAATAACTGGCCCACATTTCCTGTTCTTTTCCATTTTTGCCGCAATTTTTTTTAAAATTCTATAAAAGTTGCAGTGATCCAATTGGAATTGAACCAACATAGATGGAATATATTTGAGGATTACTTTTGTGTCCAATTTGATGTGCACATGTTTTAATTTTTTCAGAGACCTTGTAAAAAAATTGATAAGCATTAGGTGCTATGCTTTAACATAACGAGCATTTGATGTAAGAATTCCCTTTCTACCATCCTATAGGTAAAAAAAATCAACTTTAATATTTCATACAAATACAGGTAGTATATATCTCAAAGTTTATGAAAATGAATTATAGTAATTAAATATACATCCATATACACTTTTCAAGCTATTCTTTTTGGGATAAAAAAGAACAGAAAAGAAGTAAGAAATAGTGAGCCCAAGAAATTAAATGAATAAGGAAAAAGAAAAGAATACATACTTAAAACTAATTTACACCATTACCTTGATCATCCTCTTTCTTTTGATTCATTTATTCTTTCTTTGCAACTCATTAATTCTTTCTATATGGACAAACCATCGTGATATGATTCTTTCATTCTGGCCTCTTCCATATACATTTATTCAGCATCAATTTTCTTACCTCTTCTTCGTGTTTTCCTACACACATTTAACTACTATTTCCCCACTGCATTAAACTTTCTCTACGTTTTTTCCTGATATGCTCAGTTTTTTTCCACCTATATTATGCTTAAATCACAATATACTTGAAAACACATGCCTTTTTCTAAGCACATATTTACCAAATAGTCACTATTCTCATTCACTCTTGGATTTCCAAATGGCCCAGTTGCAGGATTCATTCACAAATGCATTCACTAGTTATGACTAGTGAAAAACTGTACAGGTTAGAATTTTGAAAAGAGATAAATCATAGTTAGAAAAATATGGCTATGATACAGAAAGAAGAGTATAACATAGCACCATTGAGTCTTTGACTTTGAGGCTGTACTTATTCAAAAGATCTCAGCTAAAGAAATCTCCTTATGAACCCTACCTTTCATGGAAAATTGAAGGACCAGTCAGGACAGATTGAAAATTCCTGGAAAGCCCTGAAGATTTGCCCTTCTTAACAGTTCACCTTCATTTCCTGGATGCTAGTTGACAACCAAAAGAAAAACACATCCTATTGGATTATCAATTCTCTGCATTTCTTAGTCAAGAGGCAGTTCTGGCTTCTCTGTTGAAGGTCACTGGACATTGTAAGGAATAAGGTTAATCAGGAGGTTTACCTAAACAGATACTAGTGCATTGAATTCTCAACTTTTCCACTGAGCGGAATCTAAGTTTTATGAGTTTGCAAAACATTCCACAAAATATGACTTTACAAAATATCATTTAGTAGAAAAAGCATATCTACATTTTCACAGTTATATCACTTTTCTAGACACTATGCAAAACTGCATTTACAGATGCTTCGTTGTGTTCTTGTAGTATTATTGTGCTATTCAATAACAATTCAGGATCAAGGAGAAGAACCACATTTGGGGGTTAAATTGTTTATTAAATATTTTACAACCTGAGCAATACTTACCTAAATGCATTTAATTTGTATAGGGTGAAGAAGGAGCTAAAGGAGAAAATGGCATTCCTGGTTTGCCTGGAACAAAGGTAGGATTCCTACCTTAGATGACTTCTTGGACTATTTTCAGAACCAGTAGGACCAAAAGTAATGGATATAAGTTACAGCTATCTAGATTTTTATTTAAATGTAAGGAATATTGATACAGTTTTGGAACAATCAATCTGTAAAGGTTACAGGCTCTGCAATTTTGAATATTTCTAAAGAAAGACTGGACAGGGGAGTCAGGACAGATGTAAATGTAGCTTATGTTTAATATTTGAATAGTGTCAATTATATAATATTTCTATTATTGGAAAACAATTTTCTGGGGCCGGAAAATCCCATTTATAGTCACCTTTTCATCTGGATTCTTGCCTTTGAAGACCAGTCAGAAACTACTCCTGATCCAGAACTTGGCTTCACAAGCAATTATGGTGCATCTTGATATTTTGGTCTAACACATTTGTTCTCTGTGTTGCACTGATTACCAGTGGATGTTGGGCTATAATTCAAGATGGTGATTGTTAGCGATTATGTCTACAGGGCTCAGAGCCTGGTTGTTTATGGAATGATCTGCCCATCCAATCAAATCTGACAGAATGGGTATTTTCTACTTCCCATTAATTAATCAGTGCTGCCTTGAAGAGTGCCTAGGTAGGACTATTCAGTTGCTGCTCCTGCCTTCTGGAATACTATCCTCCCAAAAGTTGTTGGGCTCCAACCTTCCATCCTTTAGAAAAGTTCTTAAAAACTGGCTTTTCAAACAGACCAGAAGCCAGGTGATTTGTGATCCTGACTGGTAGAGGACGGATGATTGCTACCTGAGTATATTACTTATCCACCACCACCACCAATGTTCTGCACTTCTCTGTATGTTTTATATGTTTTTGAAAAATATTTATATATGCTGCCTAGAGTTTTCTGATTAGGTGGCCTACAAATCTAAATCAATCAATAACAAGGAACACACTTTCCAGACACATGTCTCCTTTTTTTCTCACCACTTTTAGAAAGGTCGGTACCAGGAAAAATGTCTTCTAGAAAGAGATTTGGAGTAATTTTTAAGTCTGCAGTTTTAAATCTTCCAAGTAGGATCACTAGCAAACGAGCACATTCATGTGTGAACAGTGATTGCAGTCACCGCAATACTACAAGCCAGTTCTAAAACTTTTCATATAACCATGCCTTAATTATATTGCAAAACCGTATTCTGATCAAGAAAAATAGTAGTGGTGCAATGAATAAAAATATTATGGATGGCAAAATCAATTCATTGATGATTTCTGTTGGACCTGGTCACTATTTTAATTTTAAATTGATAAACATTTTCCCTCTCAGAATCAGTTTATCCCCCCCCCCCATCCTAATGAGCTGTCAGCTGATCTAATAATGGAAGGCTATGAAAGTTGTTTAAAATTCCTGGAGTGCATCTTCATCCCATCTTCAAGATGTAAATCATTCTTTTATATGAAACGATTCCCAAGTTAGGCAGATAGTGGTTCTAAACAGTTTCAAACATCACAGTGCACAAAAGATTTGAGTCATTTATCTGATGTTTCAGTATTTATAATATTTGATTTATGACATTTGTACTTTTCTCCAAGCTTCCAATAGTAATAGAAGTTCATGTTGCTTCTGTCAATGGAAAAACATCCGATGTTAGCCTAGAGGCACCAAGTACCTTGTGCCTTTGAGATTGTTCCGGAAACTAAAAGACAGGAAAGGCTGCAGGAAGAACTTTAACTCCTAATCTTCACCATATGGCTTTCTTTCCCAAAGAAGAATATAGAAAGAAATAAACCTCAGTTGTTAAGATAGGAGCAGCTTGTTATGAAGAGCAGCTAGTACTACCAATCAAAAGTTATTGTGAAGTATTCTGTTTTATCTTCCATCATAGATTTACTGTGGTAAGAAAAATGACAGTATAAGCAGTGGGAAAAACCAGAGAATTAAAAATGGAAGGCATCCTTATCAGGACACGTGTAAAGTCACATAAACGAGTCCTGCATTGTATTTTCAACATCTGCACACATGATTCACTCAATGGACAAACATTGCTAAATGTTCTGAAATGCAAGCTGAGTAATTAAATGCTGAAAACTACAGATGCTACATTATGTATTAGTTACCAGATTCTTGTTCAGAATTTGCTTGTCTTGAGAAGCAGGCCAAATTCTGTCATAAATAGATAAAATATTTTAAATAAACATATTTTTGGCAAACATGAAGATCATTAACCTTAGCATGACAATTTTCTTCGTTAAAATATTAATAGTCCTTAAGAAGAAAGTATAGTATTTTGTTATTGTAACAATTATTTTTATTTCTTCATAGTGCAATACCTTTTTTTAATGGCCAAATGAATTAGAGTTGATGCAGTTTTTAATTTGTTTTAGGGAGAAGAGGGTCTGATTGGTGTTCCTGGTATTCCTGGTACTTCTGGTGAAAAGGTACATGTATAAGCTTTGGGTCCATGGCTTGCGTTTGGCTGCCAGGATAGCAGACATCTTCCCAAATTTTTATATAAGAAATGTTTACTATTTATTTAACATTGTCGAATACCAAGTAAACTAAGAAGAAAATACAAATACATTCATGATTTTTATAATTATGTACCACCAGGTTGGTGTCTAGTAACCCCACAGATAGACCTTCTTTAGAATGATCTGTTCCTGACTTGGCCCTTCAAATCTTCCAACAGTGCTTCCATGACCATATAATCAAGTCCACTCACCTTTCTTCTGGTTGTTCTCTTTTTTGCTTTCCATCTATTTTTCCCAGCATTATCAATGCTCATGAGTTTTTCACATAATGTGTCTAAAATATGATAATCTGAGCTCATTCATTCATTCATTCATTCATTCATTCATTCAACAAACTTATATAGCCACCCATTTTGTTGAATGTGACTCTGGGCAGCATATAACCACTAATTAAACAATGTCACAATCATTTAAAAAAAAGGAAAAGCAAGAATGCTGGATGAAAACATTTATGCCTCAGGTGAGAACTGTAACTTGATTTATTTCTTTTCTTGGTTATCCATCATATTCTCAGGGATATTTGCCAATACCACAGTTCAAAAGCCTCATCACTTCCACTCCACTCTGCCAAATCCACATTTCATTTCCATAAAACGTCATAGAAAAAACTTCTCCCTGCATGATTCTAAACTCTGTAGCTAGAGGAGTCCATCATTCAGTATTACATCATGAACCAATATCCTGTCCATCCATGTGTTTTTCTTAGTTAAATTCAGGGGTGATTTGCTAATCTCTTCTCCCGTGCATTATGAAATAATGCTTTGGCATCATTATTATTATTTTTTGGTCACTAAAGTGATCATCCTCATTCACCACCACTTCCTCTGATACAGGTGCATGCTTGGTTTAACTGAGCAACTGGAATAATCTTCACATATTGGGCAACTCTGCTGGGAGTTGCCACTCTCGTTTTTCTTCATAATCCTTCCCAGGAACATCTATGTCCACCCCAGTGAGACAGCATGACAGGACTTAAAGAGGAACAAACATTTAACATAACAAATGCTCTCTAATATTTAGAACTTCCCTTCTTTCACTTTAGGCCCCTGGGCAAAACTGTAACTTTTATCCTCAGTTTTGCTATGATGCTAGATTTTGGGGAGAGCACTGAGATCTATATCCAGCAGTGGGGTGTAGAACAGGTTTCAAGTGCAAAACCTGGGGTGTATTTCAAGCAGATAGTAGGGAGATTTTATAGTTATATTTCTGCTAGTCATATTCCAGAAATATGGCTAGCCAGATTCAACTGCTTCAAATTTATCTATGAACAGAGAATGAAACTTATTGGTGATCTGTTCCATAAATGCTTCCTCAAGTCAATATTCTCTCCAATAAACATGCAATGATGGTGCACAATTTGCCCTCATCACTTGATTTCTTTGGATATGAAAGAGAGACAGATTTTTGATGGTATAACATTGTTACTATGTAATAAAAAGTGCAATTCAATTTCCACTAGTTTTTTTTTGCTCAAAATTAAATATGAGCCAGCAGTGTGCTGCAGCTGCCAAAAAAAGCCAACACTGTGCTCGGCTGCATTAACAGAGGGATAGAATCAAGATCAAGTGAAGTGTTAATACCACTTTATAATGCCTTGGTAAGGTCACACTTGGAATACTGCATCCAGTTTTGGTCACCATGATGTAAAAAAGTTGTTGAGACTCTAGAAAGAGTACAGAGAAGAGCAACATAGATGATTAGAGGATTGGAGGTTAAAACTGGAAGTAGAAAAAAACAGTTGCTGAATTGGGTATGTCTAGTTTAATGAAGAGAATGGTAGCATTGTTCCAATATTTCACAAAGAAGCAGGAGTCAAGCTATTCTCCAAAGTGCCTGAAGGCAGAACAAGAAACAATGGGTGGAAAATAATCAAAGAAAGAAGCAACTTAGAACTAAGGAGAAATTTCCTGACAGTTAGAACAATTAATCAGTAGAACAACTTACCTCCAAAAGTTGTGGATGTTCCAATGCTTGAAGTTTTTAAGAAGAGACTGGACAACCATTTGTCTGAAATGGTATGGGGTTTCCTGCCTGAGAAGGGGGTTGGACTAGAAGACCTCTAACTCTATTATTATTATTACGGATTATCGCACAGTCAGCCAGATGTTCAGACTGGATTTGGCATTTTGTCTACCTATCGAGTCCTTACCCAGGACCTGGGATAGGCAGATGTGGATGTTTGATGGTATTACAGTATCGTCGCAGGATGGAAGCAGTTCCTAATAAGGCCGCCTTTTGCAATTGACTAATAGCGAATTTGTCAATGCCAATGGTGTTCAAGTGGTGCTCCAGTTGTTTTGGGATTGCACCCAAGGAGCCTATGACTATTGGTACTACCCTTGCTTGCTTTTGCCACAGTCTTTCTATTTCTATTTGTAGGTCTTTGTATTTTGTTATCTTCTCCAGTTCTTTCTCTTCTATTCTGCTGTCTCCAGGCACTGCCACGTCCACTATCCAGACTTTTTTGTCTTTCTTATCGACAATTGTTAAGTCTGGGGTGTTATGTTGCAGGTGCTTGTCTGTTTGAATTCTGAAGTCCCAGAGCAGTTTAATTTTATCATTTTCTATGACTTTCTCTATTTTATGATCCCACCAGTTTTTGCTTACAGGCAAATGATATTTTTTGCAGATCTTCCAATGCACCATTGTTGCTACTTTGTCATGTCGCTGCTTGTAATCAGTCTGTGCAATCTTCTTGCAACAGCTTACCAAGTGGTCCACTGTTTCTTCAGCTTCTTTGCATAGGCGGCACTTACTGTCTGTTGCTGTCTTCTCAATTTTGACTTTGTATGCATTTGTCCTTAAGGCTTGGTCTTGTGCAGCCAGAATTAGTCCCTCGGTCTCTTTCTTCAATTTTCCTGCTCTTAGCCATTGCCAGGTTTTATTATTATCTGCTTTCCCAGCTATTTTTTTCATGTATTGGCCATGTAGTGCTTTGTCTTCCCATGCCTCTATTCTGTTCTTCATTTGGTCTTTCTTGTAGGCCAGTTTGGTCTCTCCAGTAGTTAGTAAGCCTTCCTGATATACTAATTTCAGTGCATCTTCATCATTGTTCTTCAGATATTCTTCCAAAGCCATTTTTTCTTCTTCAACCATCTGATGTACTTGTAGCATTCCACGCCCACCTATTTGCCTTGGTAGATAAAGTCTATCAATGTCACTGCGTGGATGAAGGGCATGATTCATTGTCATTATTTTTCTGGTCTGCCTATCCATTGCTTTTAGTTCTGCTTGAGTCCAGTCCACTATTCCAGCTGTGTACCTAATGACTGGGATTGCCCAGGTGTTGATTGCCTTTATGGTATTTCCTCCATTGAGTTTGGACTTTAAGATCTTCTTCACTCTCTTGATGTATTCACCTCTAATCTTTTTCTTGACTTCAGTGTGCTTGATGTTGTCAGCTTGAAGGATACCCAAGTATTTGTAGTAATCTTCCTCATCCAGACTCTTAATGTTATTTTTGTGGGGCATCTTGATTCCTTCAGTTTTCACTACTTTTTCTTGTTTGATAGTAAGTGTGGCACATTTGTCCAAGCCAAACTCCATTACATATCTTGGCTATATATACGGACAGTGTTGAGCAGCGATTCTATTTCAGATGATGTTTTTCCATACAGCTTCAGATCATCCATATAAAGGAGGTGGGATAGTCTAGCAGATGTTTTTGATGTTTGATAGCCATGTCCTGAGTTATTCAGTATTGCTGACAGAGGAAACAGTGCAATAACAAATAGTAATGGTGATAATGAATCTCCTTGAAATATTCCTCTCTTGATATTAACCTCTCCCAGCTTCTCACCATTGATCTGCAACTGTGTCTTCCATTGTGCCATCGATCTTTGCACAAATTTTCTGATGTTTCTACTTACTCCTGTTATTTCTAGGCACTTGATTATCCAATCATGTGGCAGAGAGTCAAATGCCTTTTTGTAGTCAATCCATGCCACATTCAGGTTGGTCTTCCTTCTCTTGCAGTTTTCCAAGATCATTTTGTCTATTAGGAGTTGATCTTTTGTTCCTCTGCTATTGGGGCGGTTTCCTTTCTGCTCAGGTGGAAAGAGATTGTTTTCAACTAGATGCTGTTGTACTGCATCAGCTACCACACCAGTTAGTAATTTGAATGTTGTTGGTAAGCAGGTAATTGGCCTGTAGTTACCTGGTGTTGCCCCTTTTGCTGGATTTTTCATTATTAGGTAGGTTTTCCCAGTTGTTAGCCACTTTTCAATTTCTCCTCCTTGTAGTATATTGTTGAACTGCTTGGCAATGAGTGGGTGTATAACAGTTAGATGTTTCAACCAAAACCCATGCAGTTCATCTTCACCTGGTGCTGACCAATTTTTGATTTTCTTTGCTCTTTTTTCTACCATTTTGTTGTTATTACTAGTTCTTTCATTTCAACTTCTGTTTTATTTGTATCCACCTCTTTTAACCAAGCCGCATCCTTGTTGTATTTCTTTGGGTTATCCCATATCTGCTTCCAGAACTGCACTGTTTCTTCCTTGTCAGGTACTGACTGATTCCTTGCAGTTTCTCCATTGATGGATTGGTAGAAACGTTTCTGATTGGATTGAAATTGGAGGTTCTGCCTATAGTTTGCAATTCGAGCTTCATATCTACTGATTTTCCTGGCTATAGCTGTTATTTGTTGCTTTATTATTTCCAGTGCTTCCTTGATCTTCCTTGTTTCTAAGTGGTATTTCTTGATTAGGTATTCTTTGGTCTTCTTGTTCTTCAGCTTCTTTTCTTTCATCTGTTCTAGCTTGCTTGCATGTGATCTTAACTTGCTGATCTTATTTTCTAGTCTAACCTTCCATTTTTGTGGTGCACTGTTTGTTTATTTTTCTTTTTTGTTGATTTTACATCCCAGGTATTCTGTTATAACTGCAGCTGTGCTGTACATTAGTTGG